TTTTTAACTTCTACATTCGATGTCGAAACCTATCAAATCAACTCCGATTGTCCTCAAATTTTGCATACAAGTCATAAATGACAGAACTGTATTCCGTCTCCGGTATCAAAAAGTCAATTCCCCGGTCAAACTTCCAAACTTAAATTCTTGTTTTAGCCATTTCAAGCCTAATTTCACTACGGACTTCCAAATAAAATCTCGATCACGCTCCTAAGTCCAAAATCACCATACAGAGCTATTGGAATCATCAAAATTCTATTCCGGGGTCGTTTTCACATAATTTGACATCCGGTCACTATTTGAAGTTAAATTTTATTTTTAATCAAAATTCCATATCTCGGGCTAGGGACCTCGGAATTTGATTCCGGGCATACGCCTAAGTCCCAAATCACGATACGGACCTACTAAAATTGTCAAAATACTGATCTGAGTCTATTTGCTCAAAAAGTTGACCAAAGTCAAACTTGGCCTTTTAAAGCCAACTTAAGGAAACAATTATTCCGATTTCAACCCAAACACTTTCAAATCCCGAACCAACCATCCCACAAGTCATAAATCATTTAAAGCACATACGAGAAGTTTTATTTAGGGGAACGGGGTTCTAAAAATCAAAATGACTGATTGGGTCGTTATAATTATTACACACGTGGCGAGACAAGGTGGGCTGTGTCAGAGATTGATTTTTGATGACTTGTGGCCTGGGGGCATTCTTGTTGTTGATATTTGTATAGTGGTATACGTACCTTTGTGAGCTTTATCTTGTGAAAGTTGTGAGACAATATTCTACGTGATGTCCATTCTTTTTCCTTATACTTATTTGCTGATATGGACTATGGTAGGACACTTGCACAAGCATACACGTAGTTAAGCACTCTTATCGGATACGAAGTTCTTGATCTTGTTGAGCATAGATGCTCAACCTTGTTTACTTGCCTTCTATGTGAGAATAACTCTATTGGCACGTGAGTCATCAGTGCGGTTATGAGGTGTTATGAGAGCACATGATGCCAAGTGTTAGGGTTCAGGTATTGAGACCCGTGAGTTGTGATTTGTCCGAGGTTTGGTACCTCATGGAGTTGTTGGCTAAAACATGATGTAAAAGCGGTTGTAGTTGCTGAGTTATTACTTGTCCTTATTGTATTTGTGATTCCGGATTTGGGTTGTGTTTCATTCACTTCGTCTGTGTCATTTTCATGATATTTCGCTGATACTTGTTGTTTCCTTCCTTAATGACGTTACTGTATTGTGAGCCATATTGCATAGTCCTTATGTAGACATCATACTCCTGTTGTTCATATACTTGTATCTATTTAGTTTATTAGACCAGTGGGTGTCTTGACTATTCCTCATCACTACTCCACCGAGATTAGTCTTGATACTTACTGAGCACCGATGTAGTGTGCTCATGCTACTCTTCTGCACAATTTTTGTGCAGATCCAGGTATTTGTTCGTTAGTTAGCTGTGTGGACTATTGCTGTGGAGACTCAAGGTAAACCTGCCGCTGCGTTCGCAGGCTTCGGAGTCACCTTCAAGTTTTTATTTTGCACTGTTTATTCTTATTTCTGGACAGTTGTGTTTAGAAGTTTTCTAGCAAACACTCTGTAGAGCTTATGACTTGTACTACCGGTTTTGGGAATTGTAAGAGATTTCTATTAACTTGTTAGATGTTATTTAAATAATATTGTTTCAATTAATGTTAGGCTTACGTAGTCCCTAAGACTAGGTGCCATCACGATACCAAACGGAGGAAAAATTGAGTCGTAACAAATATTATCTCATCCATACCAATTTATTTTTTGATTTGGGACTTTGAATAATTTTGATATAGGATTTTAATTTTGGGAGTGAGGCAACTATCTTTTCTAGTAATGACATGCTTAACGGTATATATTACGAGAAAAAAAGGAGCTAATTATTTTTCTGCTGCTCCCTCTTATATCAAATAAATTTTAATGCCTTCAAATATTAAAAAATACATTTTCATCAACCAAAAATAGACCGCTTAAACTAAATTAATTTTGCTAGTAAACTTTGTGAGTTCGTTATTAGTGCAATTTCAGTGCTAATAAGTTTGTAATTGTAGTCGTCCATCATTATTTATCAATGATGTGATTTCTGATATTGAGCAATTATTTCTTTAGTTGGAGTTCTTGTTATTAAACTGAATGTTTCATATAACTAATGAATTCACCATCTTTTTTACCTATTCAAAGGCTCGCGATTATTAATAAATATAAATTAATTCCGTCATATTTATTGTATATTGGCTTATTCACTTTTAGAATGATCAATAGTATTGGACCCAAAAATAGAAAGAAGATTAAATAGTAGTAGTTCTTTTAGTCCAAAAATAAAAAAATTAGTAGTTCTTTATTTTTCCCCCCTTTAATGACTTAAATTCAAATCTAATGCTTAGTGGCGAGACATTAAAACCTAGAAATTTGAATTCCTGAAAAGTAATTCAAATATTAGGAACTAGTAATTTGTCCGTGCTCCGCGCAATGGTTAAAGAAATATATATAATGAGAAGATAATATATATAATGAGAATATATATTCAGTTACCAATTAGTTTCTCATATTTAAAATAAACGAATGAGATATATGAAATCAATACAGAAAAGAAAATACAAAACATATAAATCAGCACCTTTTTGGCTATTTGGCATTAACAATAACTGGCATTTAAAACGATTTATTTTGTAATAATGTCATTCAAAAGTCGTCAATGCAATAAAATAGTAATTGTACATGCCCAAATATATTTGTAATCATTTTGTGCATGAATTATCTGGTAGAATAGAATTCCTTTATATATTTCGCTTCTCCATTATACTTGTTCATTTCTTAAATATTCAATCCGTATTTGTATGCTTTTTATATGCATCACATCTATGGAAACTTGAGAATATTTAGTATTGCATCTTTCAGAAAAAAGAAATATAATGTTAATAGTTAAAAAGTACAGCAATATATTGTTAATTGTAAAATAAATAGTTTATTGTGACAATTATTCAAAAAAAGTTTGGTGTGCATGATCTATAACCTTTTTTATCCATTGAAAAAATCATGTATTATAACAGACGATGAGTCATTAGACATCTTGACTTCAGTCTACGGAAATTTAGTAAAATGATTCATGAACAATAATAAACTCACCGATATTGTTGCTTTCATCTCCTGGAAGAGCGAGAAAGCTTTTAATTTGTTTCTTAGACCTCATCATCTAATTTTCAAAGAACCCCATGTAAGAATGAAATTATTTTATATTCTATTCAAGATTAATTCACTCTCACAAAGTGAGCAATATAATAACTAAAAGATGCAAAGTTGATTAATTGCTGCAACAACCTAAAATCAAGCAGAAAATCGAGAATAGGGAATATAGAGATACACTACACGATACACCAACCACACATGAAAGAGAACAAAAACAATTCAAAAACGGAAAGAGGAGATTTACCTTAGTAGACTGGGAGAAAGAAAAAAAAGAGGAGAAGTGCAAGAAAGAAGAGGAAGGACATGATAATTAGAGGCTGGGTTTTAAAAAAGAAAGAGGGGATTTACTGTGGCGTAGAAGACATAACTGGAAAACATGGGCGTGATCAAGCAATGAACCCAAGGCATCCAATGACACAAAAGTGATATTTACTCCTTGAAAGCCCACATTTGATCATACTACTTCCGTAGGACTTAGTAACCCAATTTTACCACAATTCCTGTCAATCTTATTACTCTAATATGCATAGTTAGCAACATGGAAAACGTCGTTGGAACAATATTTATCAAAACACACAAGTTATAATGTTAATAATAAGTTGAGAATTTTCCTTATTCAGTAGATAAATTAGCATTTGGACTACCAAATAAATCATAGAGAACACTGCCCACTGGTCTGCAATGGAAATATAGAGCAAGGATTCTTGATGGCCCAAAATATCAGAAAGTAGCACATCCAAATGAACCCAATGGATGATCGGCGGAAAAAATCGTACATACATTTCTGCAACACCATTCCATTCAAACAATGGCATTGAATAGTAACTTATCCTTAGTACTATCAATTGGTTGAAGCGTTTAGGAGACTTATCTGAAGAAATGGAAAACCAGACGATGAGTCGAGAGAGAGATTATCATTTTTACCATCATCTTAAGAATAAACACTGTATTGTTTTAGATGGACGTCAAAAACCAAATAAGAGACGTGCCTTTTGAAGCGACTACGCTGCGAACGAAAGTAGTTTTAAAAGACGGAACAGTTTTTTTCACTATTTTTCTTAGTTTGTAAAGACAAAGAAGTAAGAAAATAGATAAATGAAAACCCTGTCACAGGAGATGTGCCACGTCATACTGATATGCCCCTGATTTATATAATTATATAGATATAGATTAAATTATACATGTAATTTTTTTGTTAATATTAATATCCTAAATATTAGGGTTTCTATATAATAGTTCAAAAATGAAAGTTTTAGTTGAATTCAATATCTAAAATACTTTAAAAATTAATTAAATGACTATTTTATTCGACGTGAACTCTATATTTAAAGGATAAAAAGACGAACAATATGTCATTAAGGGTCTTCGTTGCACATATTCTTTTAAAGATCACATACATATTATCAAAGAATATATTTGAGTTATAAAAATAATTAATAAAAAAATTTAATTCCAGAAAATGATGAATGCGATTTAACTAACTCGGTAAATGAAGAAATCTTACATCAATAAACTCCCCAAATGCCTTATTGAATTATTCACATATTGTTGAATTTCACTAAAACGATATGACTACCACTTTTTTAATTAATTGTCAATTTTCATGCATCACACAAATAAGTTGGGTAGACTGTATAAAATTTTTTCTTATTTTCATTCTAAGTTTTGCTTATCATTATTTTCACTCCAATATTAAATATTTTGTTATTAAATTAGTATGTATATATATAGTTTGCAATATATATATAGAGAGAGATTCAAACCCTCATATCCTCTTATAAACTGGTTTGATTAATCTATGAAGTAACTATCAATAGTACAATGAGCCTCTATTATCTTAACAAGTGAAATTTGTGTATTTATTTCATTGAACTAGGCAACAACATCAAGAATTCCCGTACAAGATATGCATAATATTCAGAATGAAATGTCAATCATGTTCATTGCTAAGTTCTCCATCATCAGATATTCCATTTCTCCTAAGCAATTCATTTTACTGGTTCCATTCCCTGCATTTTCAAACACACAAAAATTAGAATAATGTTACTAAAACTACAAGGTTAACGTCTAATTCCCCTCCTTCCATTGCTGTTGAATTAATCAAACTTAATAGGCCGTTTGGGTAAAAAGCTTGTCCTCGTTTTAAAACAACCTTTTTAAAAAAAATAATTTAATTGATATACAGACTGATACAGTAGCATAAAGAAATTCTACACAATTAGTGAATTTCAATATGTTCTACCATGTTACTTAATTGTCGTACTATTTTTTCAGTGACTAATTCAACTTATTATAATAGCGTATATGTATACAAATTACTTTGCGTATATTAGTTAATTAAAGTCATTTTAGGAGAAAGATAATGAAACAAGACAAGACACGCATACCGTAAAAAGAATTTGGCATGGTTTGTTTGAAGGTTGGATATTTGTTGAACTTCTTGAGAGGGCAAGAAGAAAGTGGAAGAATTGGAATATTTTGGCAATTGCAAATCTCAATCATGTTTCCATCTGGGTCGTGGAAGAAGAGTTGATCTACAGTGACTCTACCTTCTTTCACAGTTGCTGTTACATACTCAATCTTCAACTCTTCCAATCTCTCAATTATGAGGTCCATATCCGAGCATTGGAATGAAATGTGATTGTCTTTTGGGTTTATCTTTCCCTTCTTTGACGCTGCATCTTCTTTTCCTAATAAATGTATTCCAATTCCATGGTTGAACAACCTGAAAAAATAACAAATAAACAAATTAATTATTCTATGTTTTTTAAAGTTTATTGTGATAAATGTTTAGAAAGAATTTCAAGAGGGTAGAAATCGGATGTGTGTGTGTGTGTTGGAGAAGGGCGTATATATATACCAAGCTCCATCAAAGTCAAAGGAAGAGGGCCTCTGGATGAGGACAAATCCAAAAACTTGCTCATAGAATTGAACACTTTTGGAAACAGACTTGCAAACAAACGAAACATGATTTAATGCTAACAAAGGCATCCTTGTAATTTCCTCATCAGGTGAGGATGATGTCGTAGATGATGAATCTGATGACCAGTTGAAGGCAGTGATCTCCTCAGCTTTCACTATCTCTTTTCCCATTATATATATCTTTCTCTTATAAGAATTCCTCTCTTTAATTCACACTCTAATTACTGAGTTAATGATAATTTTGGAATCAATAATAAGTAGTAGATGAATGAAATACTCCTTAAATTTCTGTTAGGAACTTTACATAGAAGTGCACATATATATATATAAGCACACAAAGGAGAGAAGGTGCTTGGTTTTCTAGGGTACTCTTTCACTTGTACGGAGGGTCAGGTTGGGTTATGTTAGGTGGGGGTGAGGGCTAAACTAACCTCGCTTTAACTTCATTTGAAAATTAATAATTCATATTAGGGGTTTACGCGATTTAGATCCAACCACTTATTTAATACAATACCGTGTTTCTGAAATGACTCCTGCATATAGTAAAAAAAACAAGCATAAATAGAACTAATATACTAATTTCAAAACCCAAAATGTCTTACTTGAAATTCGTCACTCGACTAGATCAATAACTAGATGCATGGCACATGGTGTTTATATTAACTCTTAAACTCCCTCTGTTCTTTTTTACTAGTCCATTGTATTAAAAATAACTTTTATTTTTACTTGCCCTTTTAGCAAATGAAAATAGATTTATTATTTTCTACCCTTAGTATTAAGTACCCACAATCCCCAAATTTATTGGAGTCATAACTTTAATAATTATTATCAAGGATAATTTAGTAACTATAATATTAGTTAGAACAAATTAACTTTTAATTTGTTAATTTTAAAGTTAGATTAATTGAGTAGGTGCAAATGAAATAAATATTCTCCTATTCATCAACTGAATTTTGATGCCCTCCGACTCCTGCAATAGCACGTTTTTCTTTTCTTTTTGTCCAAATTAAATTCTCGCAAGACTTGTCAAAGCACATGACTTAAGATCTAGTCAAGACTCATGACCAGCACTTCAGTGTTGACGTGTCAGTCATATTCTTACTCGGTTTCACTAGCTCTTTAGGCATAATAGCCTAATAGACTCCTTTACTTTTTCAGGTTTAAATCCCTATATTTCATGAAGTTTCATTCAAACGCTTGTGCTCGATCAAAATGAATATTTTAAACCTCTCTAACCGTTAACCAAACTTATGTGGCATTGCTGAGTAGTATGAATTGGATAGTATGCACGCGCAAAGAGAGCGTGAACTTATAACGTAATTTTTTTAAAACGCAAAAGTCAAATATAATAAATAAAAAAGAAAAAGAAAAATAGAACAAATAAAAGTAAAAGGGAAAATAACCCATAAAGTTACGCTACCCATCACCCCCCACCCGCTGCCTTCTACCTCGTACCTCTCCTCCATCAAGACTACCACCATATTTCATATGAAGGACGTAAATGAGAACTGCAGTGGATATAACAATTAGGGCTTTTTCCCTCTTCTTTAAATTGGGAGTTTACTTGAAGGAAATACAAATTTTAACGAGTCATAAAGAAATTCGAAAATAAAGAATTTGTGGATTGAATCATTGAACGACTGACGTTGAGAGCTAAGAGGCATTGGCTCTGACGGATGAGTTTGCGGAGAACGGCGATTAAGTCATTCGTGAGCAAACGTCTGATTTTGCTTGTAAACACTTGCTCCGACGAAAGTCAAGATGACAATGATGATAGCAATCAGATTGTATCTCTTTGGATGAAAAAAACTATGGTTTGAGAAAAAAGGTTGGGATCTTTGGTGCCTTATTGTTTCTGCAACCATTTCCTTAAACAGAAAAATTAAATCTAATAGTTTCACAAGCAATAATTATGGTGAGAAAAAGAGAGAAGAAGACGTTGAAGCAAATGAATTTTTTGGTGAATTTCGTGGAGAATTTCGTGGAGGTTCTGAAAATAGAGAGAATATTTGAAAGTACTAAATGGGCGTGGAGGAGAAAGATAATTTAGTTGCAAAGAAGAAGATGATGATATGGATATATGCATCTGACATGGATCTGATGTGTTATGTCAGGGCTGAGACTCACGTATATAAGGAGGGGTTTAAACTATTCATTTTGATCGAGTATAAGTGTTCGAATGAAATTTCATGAAATACATGGATCGAGATGACAAACCGAAATAAGTATAAGGGTTTACTAGGCTATTCTGCCCTTTATTTTTTTCCCATATGTTTTAACAAATCTTTGTTTTATGTTTTATTTTTTTGAATTGTCTAAGAACTTCTCTTTTGATTTTGTTTAGGACTTCTCTTTTTATAATCTTTTAAAGGAGTAACTGAGCTTGGTATAGGGGCAAATTTTTGACTATATTTTATGTCACAAGTAAGCCACACGGTAGTCCGCTTGGATCAAGTGTTATTTTGTTGCAGAAACAAATAAACAAATAGTAGAAATTTAAAATTTAAAATAATACAAATGAAGTGTCACTATTAATAATTATCAAAAGTTGTGTTTACATGTTTTGTAAAGAGTGATCAATCCCACGCATGTGTGTAACGTGAAAGGAGGCGTTGTATAAATAAATAAATAATTAATAGACAAGTATGTCTATATTTTTCTCTATTAACACCCTAAGAGGTCGTTTGGTAGAGTGTGTTAGAGAAAATAATGCATGCATTACCTTTGTGTATTAGTAATGCTTTGTTTGGTACACATTTTCAACCTATGTATAATTAATACAAACATTAGTTATACACTCTATTTGGTATTATCATATGCATAGCTAATGCATAGAAAATCATGGCATTAGCAATATAAAGGCTATTAATGCATGCATTAGCATGGTTAAAGACAAAATTATCCTTAAAGTCCCTCAAGTTAAAGAATATGCATGGCATTTTTGTAAACAATTAAATTTCTTAAAAATTATGCAATGCATTTTAATTTTTAATACACCACACCAAATAATGCATAAGAAATAATCTCTGTATAACTAATACTTGCATTACTAACTCATACATTACTAACCCCTGCATTACTAACCCCTGCATTAATAATACACCTTATTTAACATTATTCTTATACGCCCTACCAAACGATCCCTAAGTTTATAGATGAGATGTAGTACAATTGGTACTACTTTCAACTATGTATTTTAACTGTCTTATATTGCTTTCTAAATTCTAATAAGTGTTATTCTCGTCGGAAGCATATGATAAAATTAAAATGATAGATTAGTTGAAGTCGTGCATTTTATGTCTTCCCAGACTCGCTTTACTTCTTTGTCTTTTTCTTGAAATAGAAAGAGCAAAGTATCATTTTCAGGAATTGCCAGCAAACTATGAAATTTGTGATTTGAGTTTTTATATGTATCCCAAGATGTGCAAAATTTAGATTTGGTCAATTTCCTCCTCGTGAAAACAGTCGTTGCTAAATTATATTTTATATAGGAATAAACCTAAACCACTAATTCTTCCTATACACACCATATCAGAATAAACTAAACCACTAATCCTTCCTATACACACCAAATCACAATGTGCAAGGACCTCTAAACCGACAACTTCAATCCCAATAGGCCAATAGCATTCCTCAACCTCAAGGTATTGAAAATTGCTTCATCTGATTAGAAAAACGCCCACCATTTTAGCTATCAAATCTCTAGCCAGTAATTCAGCAATTATATATAGCTGCAAGCTAGGTGTGTTACATATAGTAATTAAGAAGCAATGTTACTTCTATGATTAGGGTGGGCATTCGTTATTTCGGTTCGGTATTTAAAAATTTCGGTTCGGTATTCGGTTTATCAGTTGTGTATACCAAATACCGTACCAAATTATTTCGATACGGTTCGGTATTTTTTATTTTGGTTCGGTACGATTTCGATTTAATAATCGCTAAATAAGCTTATGACGCCCGACAACTTACAACACAATGAATTCACAATTCACTGACAGCCTTCTCCTAGCGGTTTGTCTCCTTTACCAAGAACATGAAGCAGGATGTTAACTGCATGAAAATCGGGTGAAAATTCATTTCGATCCATTTCATCTAACAATCTATGAAATTGATTCAGTGGTTCACAATGAATTCACAATTCAGTTTAAAACCATAAACACAACATTCAAAGATCTTTGATGCCACACATTGACGATCGACTTTGATGTCAAGTGCAGAACCATAAATACAACATTTAAGACAGATTTAAGACATGCAAAACCATAAACACAGAACCATAAATACAGTCAAGAAAAGAAAGCAGCATACTAATTTAAGACACTACATGCATAAGCTTAGAGAACACAACAGTAACAGCAGACTCTAACAGTAGCATCAGAATCAAACATAGTGCAACAAAAAAACAGAGAGGGCATCCCTCAATTCAAGTTTACACTAATAGTCTCGAATCAACTTAGTCTTAATTCTTAAATATGGATTCCAGGAAGACGCTCAAGACAACACCTAATATGCTTCCTTAAACTATATGTGCCATCCCTCTTTGGATGAACATTATAGACTCGACCACAATGTTTGCACTCTACTTTGCGAACTTCTCCATTGTCTTCTTTCACCTCAAAATGTTTCCAAATATGATAGCGTACTTAAGGAGCACGGGGCATGATTGCACTTGAACCTAAAAAAAAGAAAGATAAATCATAAGTTAGAATATTAGTTTTTGATGATAATAAAACAAAACTACAAAAGTATATCACCAAACAAATAGAGTATTAAACTTACCACTCAAGTTGCAAGTTGCAACTATACATCAAACAATGCTAGTAGTACTTCTATTATTTTTCATATCTAAACATAATTCGACCAAATATGTCATACAAATAAACAAGTATGATATATTATTTTGAACTAAAATACACACAAAATATTAAAGCTTACCAAGCTCGAGTTCCTCAAGATACTCCAAGTCTTCTTCAACACTAATAGGATTCTTCTCTTCTCTAAGCCAATCTTGAACACAAACAAGAGCTTGCACATATTTAGGAGTCAATGAACTCCTAAATGAATCAAGAATACGGCCACCGGTGCTAAACGCACATTCCGACGCCACACTAGAAATTGGAATGGCCAACATATCACGAGCCAACTCCGAAAGAATAGAAAATCTAGGAGCATGTGTTTTTCACCAACTTAAGATATCAAATTCTTCACTAAAAGGCTCTTGTTCTTTACTAATGTATTTATCCACCTCCGATTTAGCACCCCCACTTCCATTGTCTTCCTTTTGTTTCTTCAAGTGAAGCTTTGTCCTTATTAATGATGCAGTTATAACACTCCCACTAGATGTATTAGATGCGTTATTAGATGAAGTAGAACTAGATAGAGATTAAGGGCAAGATCCAGTTGAATACTTTTTTAGATACTCTTCAAACAAAGAATTCATATAAGCATACACCTCAACATTTATTATCTTCCCTTTTTCCTCCCCAAAAAGCTCTTCAAGTGCAAGGCTAACATATTCAAATTTGTTACGTGGATCCAAGACGGAAGCAATAAAAATTATTTTATTCATCTTTTCAGACTCACCCCAATACTTCTTGAACTTTTCTTGCATCCTCTCAGCTATTTTTTTCAAATGCTCATCCTCACTAATTAAACATATTTTTAAATGACAATAAAGTTCAGATACATCCTCAAAATGAGAATTACAAGTGACATAACGTGAACCTGAAACTTTTTTGGTGAGCTCATGAAATCTTGCAAGAAACACTATCACAATCCTCACATTCACCCAATCATCAGATTCAAGAGGACCTGCACTACTACCATCTTCACAAAGATGAAAACATTGATAAGCAGAAAATCCATCATCAAAAAGATGAAACTTATTAAAGGCTTTTTCAAAGTTTTGTGCCGTATCCAACATCAAATAGGTGGAATTCCACCTAGTAGGAACATCCAAACACAATATTTTGGTACATTCTACCTTTACATGTGTACAACACTGTTTAAACTTTAAGGTCCTTGCAGGCAAATATCTTACATACCTCACAATATTTCTAGCATGTATGATAGAAGCATCAATTTCTTTCAAACCATCTTGCGCAATTAGATTTAGTATATGAGCCATGCATCTCACATGAAGATGTTTATCACTCATCGTATTAGTTTTTCACATATCTAACTTTTTAGACAATTCTTTGACTGTGACATCATTTGAAGAAGCATTGTCCACGGTAATAATGAACACATTGTCTAATTTTCATTCAAGCAAACAATTAGAAATAGCTTTAGCCATCTCTTCACCCTTATGACTAGTGATAGGGCAAACATTTAGTATTCTTTTATACAACTTCCAATCCCTATCAATGAAGTGGGCTGTCAAACACATATAATTTATTCTTTGCAATGAAGTCCATGTGTCTGTTGTGAGGCAAATTTTTGGTTGTGCTTCTCTAAAAGACCTTCTTAGATTTTGCTTCAATTCACCGTAAACTTCATAACAATCCCTTGTTATTGTTCTACGAGAAGGAAGACGAAATAGTGGTTGAGTTATTCTCATAAACTTCATAAACCCTTCCTTTTCTACAAAGCTAAATGGTAGTTCATCAATAACTATCATCTCAATTAAGGCCCTCCTAACCACTTCTTGATCAAATTTTCAAAGTGATCCTCCATCATTTTGGCAAGATTGAAAATTTATCTTTGTTTGACTATTATCTTTATCAATGTTAAGTGGATATTCTTTGCATCTAGCTAAATAATTTTTTAATCCTGTTGTTCCATTCCTAGATGAATTAGCAGCATAAGCTTGCTTACAATATCTACACCTTGCTTTACCAACCCCATTTACCTCAAATTTTTCAAAATATTGCCAAACTTCGGATCTAGGTTGCATGGCTTTTCTTTTCTTAGAATCTTGAGTATCAATTGTGTTGGTGTTGCTATCTTCAGTAATAGGTAAAATTTCAGTTGAACCGGCATCACTTACTCTACTTTCATTTGCCATCTATACAAAATTAAAACAAATATAAACACAAATTAAGACTTATATTTCATAACTTCATTCGAGTTGCTACTAGTTGCTATTGCTTAAATGAATCTCTAATATCCTTAATAGATTTTTTTCTACAATGTTGGAAATGAAATGATAAGATAAAAGAATTTAAGTCTTGTACATTGGTAAGCCGTGTAAAATAATTATATAATCAAATTAAATTTGTCTTTATAGCATACTTGATATTGTAACATGAAAATAGAGTGATAGTTTGTTATATCCAAATTAATTATAATAATTATATATTAAAAAGTTAACACCAAAGTAGGCAGTATATGTAACTTAGTCCTAAATAAAAAGAAAATCTAAGAGAGAGATGAAGCCTTCATTAGTGGATATTTTACAAAAAAAAAAATTGAAACTTAACTTCAGTAATTAAGAAAGGACTTCAGAATGGGTCTAATGAAACTAATAATCCATTCATTCCCCAATCAAGCAAACCAAGATTATTCGATAAAACACTTTAAGATTCAGAATTCGTTGATCACTTTAAGTATAAACAAGTAAAAAGAAAATCAATGTATACGACTCAAATGCCCAAAATATCAAACCTATTCAAGATTCAAGCCAAGATGCAAATTGGATATGACAATCAAATTGGATATTCAGAGACAGAAAAAAAAATCAAAGGAATGGATGGAGAGAATGCTTTTCGATTTGGTTAACGTCAGAAACTTTTATTTAACGTCGGAGGAGATTAAGGTCACCACCGGAGATTAAGGTCACCGCCGAAAATTTATTAATAAAAACATGATACCTTTGAAGAAACTAGAAATATACCTTTGATTCTTTGAAGTCACAGTAGCCGATCTCTTAGTATTCTCACAACAACCGTTCTCTTTGAAGTTTGAAGTCTTCGTTCTGGCTGAAAGGCTGAAACTATCGTCGTTTGCCGTTTCTGACTTTCTGAAACTATCCCCTTTTCTAAATTCCCTAATCCCTAATTGAATGAAAGACTAGAGATAAGGGTTGGGCTAGGGCGCTGGGCCTTATTGGGTTGGGCTGGGATTCTGGGCAGTATGTATAGATATAGGTCCAATTTAAAGGTCTTTAAAAATTCGGTATTTCGCTATGCCGAAATTTCAAGATCCTAATACCGATGACCGTACCGTTATACCGAAATATCGAAAAATGTAATACCGAATTAGACCGAAATACCTAAAAAATCGAAACCGAAATACCGAATTAATTCGGTCCGGTTCGGAATTTAGTTTTTCGGATTTTATGCCCACCCCTATCTATGATCAATTTATCTTGTGATTTTTTTTATGCTAGCTGTATGTTGTGATTATTAAGTGTACAACAAAACTTAAATAAAAGCCACCAAGGTGCATCTTTATTAATTGAAAAGGACAAGAGATAAAGAGTGAGACAGTATATCCATCGTACAAAAAAATTTCTATTTTATTTACCGGATCAATTTAGCTCACATGAAAAGAAAAACGTATATTAAGTCTACGAAAATTAAATTAAATTAAAACCACTATGGTGGCCATTTTTATAAATCGAAAAAAGCAAAGAGACAAAGGGTGGTGAGACACATCTATATTCAACCTAACCAAATCTTATTTTATTTGTGTGATCATTCCTTTTTTTTCTTTTATTTTTTTGGCCTAATTCCTTCATACTATATTATCCTTCAACAGTAACAATATAGCATGGTGGCTAAATTCTCCTGAATTCTAATTGAGTTATAACCCTAATAGTCAACTTTCAAGGGCTTGATCAAGATTGTTAGGTTTGAGATAAACAGAATTGATGGGAACCGCGTAGAAAATGCCAGCCACACAGCTAAAGTGATTTTTTCAAAAATATGAAAATGCTTGTCGCATAGCTTTGTCCTACTGTAGAGAAACTGGTATTTCCATTTTAAAACAAAAAGTGGCAAATAGCGGGAATTGAGAACGGTAAAGGGCCAAATATACCCTTATACTTTCGAAAAAGATTTATATATACTATTCGTTATACTATGAGTTCAAATATACTTATACCGCTATATTTTGGGTTCCAATATACTCCTTATTTAAACGGAGGGACACGTGCCATCGTCCTGTTGGTCAATTCTAAATATCTCCTAATTAATTAAAAAGACACATACTCATACCCGAAATATTGTAAAAATTGCTTTAAAAAAATTGAAACTGAAAAATATTTTTTTATAAAAACTGGAAAAACACATTCAACAAAATATTTTCGTTTTTTTAAAACTAATGCACATGTAGTCCACTGCTTTAGGAAAGTCTTTTTTTTCAGTTTTTTAAAAAAAGTATTTTTCAGTTTTTTTTAAAGCAATTTTTTTTTGTAAAAACTGAAAAAAATTATTTTAAAAACTGAAAAAAGACTTTCCTAAAGCAGTGGACTACAAGTGCATTAGTTTTAAAAAAATAAAAATATTTTGTTGATTTTTTTCCAGTTTTTACAAAAACAATTATTTTCAGTTTTTTTTTAAAGCAATTATTTTTTGTAAAAAACTGGAAAAAAAGATTTTATTTTAAAAACTGAAAAAAAATACTTTCCTAAAGCATTGGACTATAGATGCATTAGTTTTTAAAAAACGATATTTTGTTGATTTGTTTTTCTTCAGTTTTTTTTTAAAAATATTTTTCAGTTTTTTTAAAGCAATTTTTACAAATATTTCGGGTAGGGGTATGTGTTTTTTTAATTAATTAGGAGATATTTAGAATTGACCAACAGGACGATGACATGCGTCCCTCCGTTTAAATGAGGGGTATATTTGAACCGAAAGTATAGCGGTAGGGATATATTTAGACACGTAGTATAACGAAAGGTATATTTAAACCTTTTTCGAAAGTATAGGGGTATATTTGGCCTTTTACCAAATTGAGAATGATTGGAGTTGATTCCTTTTTACATTAACATATGTACATATATATTCTCCTTCATCATTTATCATGTAGACACTACTAGAAAACTGTCAAAATTCGTCTACAGAATACCGAACGAAATCGGTCGAAAAAAAACCCAACCGAAATCAGTCGAAAATTAAGTAAATTGGTCGCAAAAGTCAAAGAAAATATTTTTGTCAAAGACAATAGTAGTCCCACAATAGATATATAACAATTCCAACCGATTTCGGTCGGAAATTGATCAATATTTAACCAAGACCTGGTCATACTTGTATATTATTTATAAAAATAATTTTTAAATAAAATTTTTCAAATATACCGACCGATTTCGGTCGGTAAATTTGAAATTATGCTTTCCCGGCCAAAGCAATTGGTTTTTAATATAACAAAAAGTATATATATATAATTTACCAATCGGAATAAGTTTTAATTAAATTTTTTCGACCGAGTTCGGTCAAAAATACAATTTTAAAATAATTAAAATATAAATTTAGTGAAAGTACCGACCGAAGTAGGTCGGTTTTTTTTTTGACCTTTGTATAAATAGCTTTTAAATAAATAATATTTAATACTTAATTGATATATATATATATATATATATANCTCACTTGAACTAATTTTTTATTGATTTATGGAATCCTTATTTAATGCACTCTTTTTTCATAAAAAAGAAACAAACAAACAAATAATAAAATGGATAGATTAGTAAATAAATATTCCATGGGAAGAGAAGTAGTGGGGTTTTTCATGGAAAAATAATTTTTTATTAAAAGTTTTCAAAATTTCCGACCGATTTTGGTCGAAAAATTTGAAATTATGCTATTGTCCCACATCGGCCGAAAGTTGTGAGCCTTTCCATCTTATAAGTTGCTTTGATGCCATAGAGTCCAACAACCGTGGACTAACAAAAAATAAGCAAATATAGGAAGGGTTGTAGTTAGTGCTTAGTAATAAGATTTAATATTCTATATTAAATCTTATTAGAATTCAATAAAATAATAATGATAATAATATATAATAGTACTAATTAGTAATATAATAATAAGATATATACTAGTACTAATTAGTAATAAGATATAATATTATGATGCTGTGATATCTCGAGCTGGGGAGTATACATGCGATACAAAAAAATATATATCTGGAAGATTTCTAAAATTATTATATATTTAAAATTCCGACCGATTTCGGGCGGTATATGTAATTTGGCTGTCAGTCAACGCATTGAAATAACCGACCGTTTTCGGTCGGAAAATTTTGACCGATTTCGATCGCAACACCTTAGCGACCATCATTTTTCCGACTAATTAAAAGCGGTCGGAAATCAGTCGTTTTTTCTCAAATTCCGATCGATTTCGACCAGTTTTTCTGAACGAAATTAGCCAGTTTTTTAGCAGTGAGACACAATGGTCGTTGGAATAAATTATTGTGTTGGACCGTTCATGAGAGGTATTAATTAGTTCATCAGCCAATTTTCCCTAAACCTTACTGAGTATCTACAAACAAAACCATTACGGGTAGGAAAAATTATGCTTTTGAATGTTTTTTTCGTGGGAAATAAATGGCGGCTAAAATTTTAGTAGCAGACAAAAGAACAACGTTCTGCATCCTAGAACAGGTTTTACACTGTGGAAAAGCAAGGAAATTAATTACGTATTCGTTTCTTGAGGAATTTCTACGTACCCTTAGTAATTCAAGTTTTGGTTTAAAGAGATCCGTATCCGCAAAGAAAAATGTATAAATCTCGTAACATGTGATTTACGTGTAATCCTCCAATAATATGAGATTTGACTGGGCGTTGGCAAGGGTCAGATGGGGTTCAATTATTTGGTACTTGCAATCATGAGATAACGACTGTGATATTTTATATTATAATTTTGGACGGTTAGGTTAGTTGGCAATTGGATCGTCAGCCATTTTGGAGAAATATTTTATTTAATTTATTTTTGGACTGAAGATATAAAAATAGCTGGAAAAAATAGTTAGTGACCAAAATACATACTTTAACGATCGTTTGCCCGTTAAGGTATATCGTCTTTTAAAAGGGCGATATGTTTGAATTTGAAAAGACGGGTAAGTATAGCGTCGTTTATTAAGGCGCTATTATAGCGCCTTAATAAACGGCGCTATACATACATAATAAATTGCCCCCTTCCCTTCCCCACCAAACCAGAACTCCCCCCAATTAAAACTTAAAAAAAACAGGCGGTCCCCCCATTTGTTACGCCCTATGCGTTTCAAGGTGACGTATAATGAATATGAGACTTGTTAATCATGATTTAAATGAGTTTAAAGTCATAATATGACTATATATGATGTTTGGATAAAACACATAAAGTTTGGGGAAAATCGGATTAAAGTTACGAAAAAACCAACTAAGAACTTGCCCTATAACAGAGCTTTTTGAGAAATAAATTTCGTGTGCTATATGAGGTCTTTTTGGGACATATTATATACCAAATTGAAAGTCTTGGAATGTGGTTTCCAATGCCCTTAACCGTTCGTTCATACGATATCCGGATAAAAGGTTATAAGCGTCGAAAAATGGGCGAATCAGAGGGTGCCAAGCTAGCACCTTTTGACTTTTCAAAAGTTGATATATATTTTTTAACTCGTCTCTCTCTTCATTTTTACATAACATCTGACCAGAGGACACCGTAAACGGTCCTTGAGCTCTCTAATATTGCTTCAAACAAGACTATCATCCCGCACACGAAATGAAGAAGCGATAACATTAAAACGATCTCTACGACGTAAGTATCGCTATATCGCCTCTCTTTTTCTTTGTAGTTTGAGTTTTGGAATGTATTTAATAGTTAATAAAATTCCTAATTTCTGTATTTAAGCTTTAAAATATCAAGAAAAGTTGACAAATTCATTTCCTAATAGTCAGACCTCACGGGACGGTGATCGGAAGCCGTGAGTTCGAGTTATTTGACTTGTAGTGGACTATTTTGTGGGCTGTTTCGTGTTGCTTTTGGGATGTCTATTGTGATGCTGATTTATGGAGTTGGGAAGAATAAAAGGGGCGTGGAGAAACGCCACATGTGATAGGGTAGTAAGTTAGTTGCTCGTTATTGTAGTTACACGCTAATTGATAACTTGTTAATTGGGTGTATTATG